GGGCTCCCTGCTCGGCAGGGAGTCTGCTTCTCCCTCTGACCCTCCTCCCGCTCATGCTCTCTGTCTCTCATTCTCTCTGTCTCAAATGAATGAATAAAATCTTTAAAAAAAAAAATAGTATTCATCTTTAAGCAGTGTGGCATTTACAGCCTATAGTTTCAAAGTCTTCAAGCCAAGTCTGGAGGGAGTGGACACAAGGATCTGTGTTCACGTTTAGTGTGAACCAGTGTAGGAAAGTAGCATCATCCTCAGGGAAAGGGGTCTTCAGATGGCATGCGTCAACCTGATCAGTAATCACAATGGACTTATGTACTCTCTAAACATTACTTGGACATTTCAGGAGATTCTAGGACAAAGTAACCTAGTAAAAGGCTGAATTTCCTTTCATTAAACCACTCAATTACTCACTCTTTCTCAAGCACTACTCAATTATGGTTATTTATACATTAGGGAACTCATAGATTAAAGTAATTGTGGGAGGGAGTAAGAATGAGGATAACTTGGGGACAAGCTTTTATGCTCAGAGGTGTTTGTTCTAAATTAATGGACCAGACCAAGATGGCCTCTCTCTCAGATTTGTGTTACTCCTGCGTGCAATCATGCATTGTGGGAGAGTCAAGATGACTGACTAAATCAGATATTCATTTAGGTATATCCCTAAATCAGCTTCAATGACCTGACATTCTTTATAGAATGATCCAAAGTGGCAAAGCTTAGAAAGAAATTTAGCAAATGTTCCAGCAGTTCTCAACTCTGGTTTCATATGCAGATGACTCTCTCAGAATTTCATATGAAATTCACCTGGGAGCTTAAAAAAAAAAAAATCAATGACAGGACCCCTGTGAGATAGGAGAAAATATATATTGATTTCTGCCTCTGATTCCTGGCACAGAGCTCCTGAAACCCTTGTAAATTCCTAAGTGATAAGAGCACTGGGAACATCTTTGTTCTTTGCAGCCACCTGGGTGGTCCCTGGATAGGGCTGATCACCAAAAGATGGAGCCATGATTAAAAGCTTGGCAATTTCAGCCTAACCCCCATCCTCGAGGGAGGGGAGAGGGACTGGATATGGAAGTAATAATTGATCCTGCCTGTGTGAGGTAGCCTCACAAACACATTTATGATGGGGGAAACAAATACAAAAGAAAACTAAATTTCCTTACTACCTACAGCCCACTGACAAGTCCTTGACAGAGGAAGAGTGACATTCTTCTAGGAATACAGCTGCCTCGATGTTACTACTTTGCCAAGGGCAGAGGGCAATCTTAGCCTGAAACCCAGGATCCTGTAAGTCTACTATAATATACAAAAAGTCATTTGGAGGGGCGCCTGGGTGGCTCAGTCTTTAAGCGTCTGCCTTCGGCTCAGGTCATGATCCCAGGGTCCTGGGATCAAGCCCTGCGTC